CGCGTCAGGGCCCTTCCGCCTCCTCAGGCGCGGCTCCCCCGGGAAGGCTCCGGCCGCCTCGCCGTCCGTGCGGGCTGTGCGCCGCGCCTAGCGCCCCTGAGAGGCGATCGGCTCCCTTCAGAAGTTGAAAGTAGGCTGGTGGGGTGTGAAGCGCGGACACAGCGCCTGATACGCCAGAGTACTGTGGGTAGCTTCCGAGCGGCGGTCGATGCGGAGGGATTGCGAGGCGGCTGCGGCAGCAGAGGCTCAGCGAATACGTCCAACCGCTTCCTCCTCCCCAGTACGACTCTTCTACCCGCCGGTGGCCCCAATATGGCGTCAATAACAACGCCGCCGATTCAAATCCTGCGGCCCCAGGGCGCGTGCGCAGAGGGGCGGGCCCGCCGGAGGATGTATTCTGGGAGTCGTAGGTTTGGGCTGCGGGAAGGAAGGGCGTGAAAGGCGGGAAGGGAGGAGTCACAGAAACTACGACTTCCGTCATGCAAGGCGAGCTATTCCGAGTTCCGGGTTGGAATTTAAATCCCCCTACACAGCTTGTGTAAAAGGAACTAAGCAAAACAGAAAAATAAAGGTCTCTGAGGCAGTGGGAGAGAGGGAAGCCAGCCCACGAGGAAAATAAGCTAAGCGACATAGAAACCTCTAAGACTAGGTGATCCCACGGTGATTTAACAGCCGAAAAATAGAAAACTTAGCTAACCTAAGAGTCCCAGGCAGATTAATTTCGGTATCAAGAGTGCCAAAACAAAACCTGTCACATCGAGGGGGTTAGGAAGTAATGAGATCATGAACCTATTTAAGATTGCAAAGGAGAACAACAGTAATGGTATCAGATTACTGGATCTTTGAATGAAGTAGATGCTTTCCCTTCCCAGACCGCTGCTTGCATCCATTTTTTAAATTCTGCAAAGCCAGTTTTGTTTCTGTAAATGAATAGGATTTGGACAACATACAGAATCAAATTGTTTCGTTCTAAGGAAAAAGCAGGGATAAAAGAAATTGCGTTCTCTACCTTTGAATATTAGTGTATATTTTGTGAACCCTAGTATAAAACAAATCAAAAGGGATAGTGAAATGTCTAGGTAGTAGATATTCGACCTATTGTAAGCCAAGGGAGAAGAAGTGTTACTAAAAATTGTGCTTTTAATCAGCCACTTCAAATAATTATCAAATGCAGCATTAATTTTTAAATAGTGATTTATGTAGAAGCCATCAGTCCAATACAAACTATCTTATGCAAATACCATGTTAGCAAATGATTATAGACCTCAAATACTGATCTTCAGTGCTCATTTATTCCTGTTACTGTTTATTCAGTAACTAGATGTTTTGTAGCCATTTTATCTATTTTTTTTTATACCATGTTTGGACAGTAGTTCAATATATTCTTGTTTCATAGAGCTGTTAAAGCCTCAAAGATCAGCAGGCAAGATTAGTTAAGCTATGCTAATTTTAATTTAGAATATACTATTTGGAAAATACCTCTCGAAAAAAATCAGCATTTAATGAAACAGCAGCTTAACTAATACACCTATTAGGTAAACTTTTACTAAACTAAACACTCCATGAAATTCATGATACTGTGAAATTAACAATATACATGTTCTGTGTAAATGGTTAAAAAAAAGTTGGTTAACCTATGGAAAAGAAATAACAAAGCATTTATATTCTTGGTAATACTAAGATTTGATCTTAAGTTATGTAACTTACATTGGAAAGGGGGTGTTATGAGTTAAATTGTGTTCCTTCACAATTTGTATGTTAAAGTCCTAACTTTCAGTTCCTCAGAATGTGACCTTATTTGGAAATAGGGTCATTTCAAATTTAGTTAAAATGAAGTCACACTGGATTAGCATGGGTCCCTAATCCAGTATGAGTGGGTATCCTTATAAAAAGGAGAAATTTGGACACAGATAGGCAGAAATTAGGGTGATGTATCTACAAGCTTATGAATGTCAAAGATTACCAGCAAACCAGGAGAAGCCAGGAGAGGCTTAGAACAGATTCTCCCTCACAGTCCTCTTAAGGAACCAACCCCAATGACCTTTATGTCAAAGTTCTCTTCTCCAGAACCATCAGATGATGAATTTCTGTTGTTTAGGTCATCTAGCTTGTGGTAGTTTGTTATGGCAGCTGTAAGAAACTAATATGGGAAGGACTGTGGTTGTCATTTGAGATAGACTGAACTACCTGGAAAATTAGCAAAGAGTTGTATTTAAAGGTGGGGGGGCAAAGGGGAAAATCTGTAACCTTGACAGTTGAGTCACAATAGCTGCCTGTAGTCACCATTGCACAGCATATCTTCAAAAGTCTGTCAAAATTAAACAATGACAAGGCAGGGCACCTCCTCTTCTATCTGTGACTCAGGAAGCCATTTCAGAAACTAAGAGGACAGGGGCACTCTTCCCTATTCACCTTTCTGTTTGCTCAGGGATTTTTCTCCAAACTATCTGCCTGACTACCCTGTAAGACTCAACCCAAGCATTTACTCCTCCAGGACAACTTCCCCAATGTTTCAAGGTTGAGTTAGTTTAATAGACTCAGAAAGAGAAAGATAAGTATTTGTGTTGGGTCCGAGAAGTCCTCCCAACTTAGCCCAAACGGACAGACTCAAGACACACTCCAATGTAAAGGGCATAAGGTGAGATTTTATTACAGACCGGTCTAGACCCGCCCAGCATGCAAGCCTGGGACGAGCCCCGAACTCGGGGTGAAGGCAGTTTTTATGGGGTACAGAAAGCAAGAGGGGTAGGGTCGGATACAAGTACACTTTTGATTGGTGGTTGGTGAGATCACTAGTAAAGGAAGGTTAGCATTGGTGGCTGATTATTTCACTAGTACAGGTGAGGGGGGGAATTCTTAACCAGGGCTTGATTAAGTGGCTGGAGGGAAATTACCTGTTAGGGTAATAAAAACTTATTGTTTTATTGCAGTAGGGTGACTTAGTTAATAAGGAATTGGGGGCTTATTGCTCTGATGCCCAGGGTGGTACTATTTGGTTGAGTAACTATGAAAGGAATGAGAAAGATTGCAGGGTGGGCCCTGCGGGTATGGTTTAAGCAACTAGGAATGGAATGGGGATGGTTGCAGGGTGGGCCCTATTAGGAATGGGGAAGGTTACAAGGTAGGCCCTGCAGGCCAGGGCCCAGGAACAGAACTTATGTGGAAACAACAAAATGGAGCTGATCTGGTCCTCACATTTGCATAACTTCATCATTTACCTTACTCACCACATTGCCATATAGTTGATTAGGACTCTCCCCCTCCCCTACCTCTGTGTTACCTTCTTACCAATACTATATAGCACCTTGAGTACTTTGATACATGTTCTTTGAATATTTCTGTTTTTTGAGACAGAGCCTCAAGCTGTTGCCCTGGTTGGAATGCTGTGGCATCACAGCTCACAGCAACCTCCAACTCCTGGGCTGAAGCGATTCTCTTGCCTCAGTCTCCCAAGTAGCTGGGACTATAGGCACCCACCCCAACGCCTGGCTATTTTTTGGTTGTAGTTGTCATTGTTGTTTGGCAGGCCAGGGCTGAAGTCGAACCTGTCAGCTCTGGTATATGTGGCTGGCGCCTTAGCTGCTTGAGCTATAAGCACCGAGTCTGAATATTTCTTAAACATTCTTTATCACCCTGTCATCCCAGTAGCTCACATTAACCTCCTCCCTCATGACAAATATCTACTAAAATACTACAGCAACCCTTTTAGAGTGGTAGATAGCTATGGGGGGGAGGGGGGACTATAAAAATATTTCTTGAGCTAAAACTGAAAATAAAAATAGTATTTAAAAGCCATAATTTAGAACTGAATTTTTATTTCATTAAGAGGGAAAAAACTGTATTTAATACACTAATAAGTTGAATCAGGTTACATGAATCTACATAGATAGTATACCTAACAGCTCCAATGACTTACACAGACCAAAATTGCTCATGTTATAACTAAAAGACCAACAACAAGTATTAAAGGTTTGAAATATTTACAATAGTTTTGCTATGATCTAGTAAGTATCTCAAAGCTTCTGGAAAAAATCTTGTTTTACTGATATATTGTTGTTGCTTGGTATTAGACTTTTCTAACACCTCTCAAAACCTTCTCCAGGATCTGATTCTGATGAGTCATTCTTTGACTAAAGCCAATAGAGCAGACGTAGCTAGATAGCAGAAACCTCATCATCCTGAGCCTAAAGACACTCTTCATAGCTTCAAATCATCTTCAAACAAGTTTTCTGACAGCAAGTAAAGGTAAACGCAAAGATAGAGGGTACAGAAGGTGTTTGCTGACTTTTCATGCTAAGTTTGAATAATCACAAGCTCAACATTAGAAACAGCAGTTCTAATTCAGGAGCCACTTCAAATCTATATTCAGAACAAGCATTGCCTAGGGCAGAAAAAAATGTTAAATCATTGTGTACATGAGCACAATTAGAGAAGAATAGACACTGTAATTCCTTATGTATAAGATTTTGCAGGCTGGATGAATCTCTCCTAAGCAGCATATTTGAAATACATAGTATTTTCCACCACAGATACGATGCTGCCTAATTTTTCTTCATGTTCATCATTTTGGATGTGATCATGACTTTGAGTTGACTGGTTAGATCGCAGATTAATCAGGATATAGCAGTGATTCCAGCAGGTCACCTAGTACAGTCCCCAGCTTCCAGATGATATTACCTGTGAACTACTCTAGCCAGATTTCGTATCTGTCTACATAAAGGTTTTCAAGAACAACATACAGAATCCTGCTCAAGTGTGAAAATACAACTGCAAATTCTCTTGTATCTATCTTTAATCTTGTCTATATCAGTGCTGCTTTCTCCTTGTAAAGTGCCCTATAAAGAACAATTTGCTCCAGGAAATAAGCTATGAACCACTTTGCCTGAGGGACTTTGAAAAAAAACAGAGGGTAGTCTCTCAGTAGTGTAAATAAGATTTTAGAAAGTCCTTATTTTAA